TTTATTGAGCCGATTATGCAGTTTAAGCGAACTTTGTGAAAATGAAAATTGAAGTGAACCGGTCACATTTTGATTGGTCTTTATTTTTATTTTTATTTTTATTTTTTTTGTTAAAATATTAATTTTTGGTGCCTTATACTTCCGCGTTTAAGGTCTTTATAAGTTAATATGTATTTATTATCTTACTTTTTCTGTACTTTCAAGAACAGTAGCACACAGCAGTTACAAAAAGGTCTTTTGAAAATATTACAACAAAAAACATTGGTCGCAGAAGATTTTTATTATCTACCATAGCGTGTTGTGAATAATCATTCACTGTCATCATGTTGCATTTTGACATTTAAGCAAAAAATTCAGAAACGTCGAAAACGTTATTCCGACAAGGAAGACAATAGTTCAAGTGACGCTGGTTATGTTGGCACTGACCGAACCTTAACACTTGGTAAAGTTTCTTTACAAGGCTTCAACAAACTGAACGAGCATTGGTGAAAACGTTTATTTTTCTGTTTTCAGAAGAGCGGAGGAAGATCGCATCAGCGGCATATTATGACTTTACGCAGCGTAATGGTCGTACACCAATTAAAAAAGTTTGTATATTAACTTCAGCTTAATTAGAAAATTTTTTTTAAAACTAAGTTTTCAGGAGGAGGAGCGGCAATGTTTGGGACCTTGCTGTACTTTGTCTGCAAGACCAGGTTCAAAATACTGTTCAGATACATGTGGGTTAAATTTAGCTAAGGTATGAAAATTGGAAATAAATGGTTATTCACCTGTATTACTGAAATGTATGACAACCTGTTACAGAAGCGTCTTAACACCATATTGCCCGGACGAGTTAACAACTACTGGGAGCAGCTTCCGTGTGCATCCATAAATTCAGAACGGCAACAAGCTGTTTTAGAAGAACAGCTTCAGCAACTAACAGTAAGTATTTCATTGTCATAATTTTTATTTGCCTAAGAGTACTAGTAATTATTGTGTTACACATTGTGGTGACTCGGCTTCTTACCTTTCTGCTTTATGGTTTGGATTGGAAATTATCATTTTTTCAGAATGATCGGCGTGTAATCGAGTCTTACAAGGAAGAACTACATAAGTGGGTTACCGTAAGCATTTCAACAACTTTGCATTCTTTCTTCTGTGTTAGCAATTAACAGTCTGTTTTTCATGAATATGTAGAAATCCTTTGTAACTTCATTGTTTAGTCACTTTTAAACATCGAACCTAGAGGGAAGGAAAGCACGAGTGACAGTTTTGATTGGGATTTTGTAAGTGCTTTAAGATTTTTTCATTGCCTTAACCATAGTTCTTGATGTTAATGATTGGTTTTCGCATACTTTTTTCTACTATCCTCGTGTTTTTTGAGTAGCACGGTTTCTTCCTGTTTCTTCCTAACTTTTCTATTATACATTGTTGGAGAAATATTTATTTTATTTAAAATGAATTCATTTTAGCCTTTTTTTTAAACTTTGTGTTACTTTATTTTAAAGTTACAAAACAGTTTTGTTTTTTTTTGATCCTAAAAAAGTGAAAATGAAATTTCCAAATGCAAGTTTGTTGAAAAAATAGTATGAGTACCGGAAAGATATTTTATGAGGCTTTTGAATTGTTTTCTAGAATTTACACTGTGCTGTATGCACTTTGGAATTTCCTGCTAAGCAAATAGCGAAACATGCTGAGAGATGCTTCGTTCGTACAGAGAAACAAAGTTGTTATGGCGCACCTAATAAGGCAAATTAATTTTCTTATTTTGTATGCTTGGTTTATATGACGTTATTAAACACTATTTTTTTAGTTTACTGACAACTTCTATGTACTTATTCTCTTTGTGCTTAAGGCAGTTTAGCTTTGCTGATGTTACTCTTTATTTTTAGGCTGTGGCAAACCCGTGTAACCTTTACTGTGAGGCTTACAACAAAATTAATAAAACTTATTGCAAACGGCTGCGAGTTTTGTGCAGCGAACACTACAAGCCTGGCGTGGAGGAAGAGCTCAAAGTGTGCATTGCTTTCAGTTACTGTTTTATCTTGTTTCCTTGTTTAGTTTTTGGTTTTAGATTTGTGGATTTCCATTGATATGGAATCGGAGCGAATACCGGCCTCTGTGTAAAATGTTTGCGGATCCTAATTCGTTTATGAGTATAGGTTTCTGTTTAAGGAAACGAAAGGAGTGCTACCAGCACCATAACTGGATTCAAGTAAGTTTCTTACTTTTGATTTATTGTTAGTACGTATTTCGTGGGAAAGGAATTCTTTGATTTTTAGAATGTTCTGGGTCTTATCGACGTGGAGTTAATGAATAAATTGATAAAAATTGATGAATGTCTTGGGAAGAAACGTTGGTTGCAAATAACTGATAAAATTCGCGGAGATGTATTGTCTTTGATGTGCAATGAAACAATTCCGAGTAGAAATAATAGGAATTCGAGTGGAGGTACTTCATTCTCGGACACTCCGCCGGATTTTCGTGCTATGCCAAATGATGATCCAAAGTCCTCGGAAACGACAAGGAAGGAATCTCCTGAAATAAAGTGGGAACTTGAAAACGAAGATGAGGTTAAAAATCAGAGCCATTGTAAGAGTTCTGATACTGTTACGCCGCAAGCGGTACATAATGCGGCTGCCGCGAAAAACTTATTGTCGCCTGTTAACGTTTGTAATGGCAGCAAAGATTTTATTTCAGCGAAGGGTCAGGATAACAGTGCTGTTCATATTTCTGAAAGTCGTTCGACTTCGAGCGTGATTAATGAAACCAATCAATTATGATGCAAACTCTGGTCTTTGTTCACTTTTCTTTTCAAATTTTTCTCAGTTTCCCTTTCTTCGTTGTTGTTATTGTTATTGTCGTACCTTTTGTCTCATGTGAAATCGTTCTCTTTTAATTTTTTTTGTGTTTCTTTTAATTTTGAACAACAAGTTTTTTTAAGAGTGGACAGACTCGCTCTTGGAACAAATCTTCATTGATTTTAAGCTCTAGCTATTCGGTTTTAAACGGGTCAAATATTAGTTTTTTCCGGTGCAGAGTTGCAAATTTGCGCTAGGACATAAGCCTCTTGTACTTAAAGTTTTCATGTTGATAGATTATCAGCTTCATCACTTGAATTCGTTGGAACGTTGTCTTCATAGGTTAGAATTACTGTATGTGCGATAGTGTTTTAAGGCGTTAAATATTTTTTTGTGACTGCGTCATGTGTCATTGATTTTATAGTCTTAAAAAGCATTCATTTGGCTATTTACCTCAGCTTCTTTTTGCACTTTTTCATATCTGTGTTTTTACGGTTTGCCAACGCATCAATTTTGTGTTGACTGGTTTGTTCATGCATACGTGTATTAAGCTAGCTGGACAAAAGTTTTCGGTGCGCTATTTGAATGGCGTCGATTTGGACTATAATGCAGTAATCTATTTAATGTTAAAAATTTATTGAAATTTTTTTGTTATCTATTTTGCTTTTTTTTTTTGTCTTCGATTAGCAGTTACATTTGATTCTCTTATAAAATGTTCGTTTTGATTGTAAAATTTCCTTGGCTTTTTAAAAATGTTTGTAATCCATCTTTTCCTGCCATATAGGGCTGAGATTTTCGCTTATAGACGGAAGGGTGATGCCAGTAACAGTCGAG